GTATGCCTTGAAGTGGACGAATCGCCACTGACTGCGATACCAGTCTACCTTCTCTTTTTACAAAGCGCTGATATCGTCGAGCAGTGGGAAGGGTACTATACAGTAACCAGCCCGAAAGGTATATCAAACTGTAGCGTTTGAGGTTACTTGGCGAAGATCGAGTGTCGGTGATGGAGTTGGTAAGTGACAAGGATCGAAAACGTCTGGAACGACATCGAAGTCGATGGGATCAGCGTGAAAAAAGTAATGCTGCAGACGACTGGAAAAGTAGCAAGGTCAGCTATGAGTAGGCTTTTACGACTTTATTTGCAGGGGTTCCTCTCTGGTTTCTTCTACTCTGATCTTTGTGCATTTAAATTTTGGGTCTGCTCCTGTTTTAGCCTTCGGTTACTGTCGTTTACTTATAGGATCGAGTTGAATTCCCCGATGAACCGATGAAACAAGCTCGATTTAAGGAGTTTCTGAAATACCTGCGGCGAGGTGAGCAGTATTTACTTAGTCGTGTTTGCTAAGAATGAGTGGGAGTGTCAAAGAGGTTGGGTTTGGCGCGCCACGAGTCCGTTCTGCACCAGTTGTTGAAGAAGGTAAGCGACAACAAGTGGTGGAAAACGTACAGGGTGATACAACTTGTCGTTTGCTAAAAAAACAGGCTGGCGCCAAACGCGCCAAACCCATCCTCTCCTCCCCCTCACCCTTAGCTCGCTAAACGTTCAGCGAGCTCTCTTGTAAGCGTGCGACAGGAATAAATAGAATACTGAAAATTTGACATTTGTCATATTCGTTTCAATATTCATAGCAATTTTCTTTAATCAGGATTGGTGCTACCGCAACCAAAAGAGTTGTCCGTATGGGAATGGGAATCGGAAAAGAAGGAATTTGAAGGGAAATTGACATCAGAAGAGCGCGGAATGTTACCAGAGGTTGGTTGGTGTTTTTCTGCTGCGACTGTGACATTGTAACGTTTTCAGAGGTATTCTGAAACTCTCAGTAGGCTCACAGTAAAGATTTTAGGTAGTGTGCGTAGATGCATGCTATCCCGGGGGTTGGGGGGGGAGACGGTCAGGACAATCGTTATTTGCCACTCCGTCACACGCGACAATGGAACGCTGCGGTGTTATCTTGGTTTGCGAAGCCTAAGCATGGGGCGCCGGATTGGGCGCGAAAAACGGATTTTCATGATGGAAGTTGTGAGACATTTATGTATTTTTGTTATAACAGTGTCTCATACTTTCGCCATTGCACCTAGAAGCACTATTGGCGACGTTCGCACGCAACGCCCACCAGCGCGGCGAATTGCGATTGTCTTGGCACATATCCCGCATGGGGCTCTATTTCAAGACGCATTCCGCGATAAGCGGGTGGGATGAGAATTCGGCGGCAGTTTCGATATCCCTATTTCTTTCTTTGTGTGCCCCCTTTCCTTAGCAAAAAGAGGCGCATAAAAAGGACTCATTTGGTTCCTAGTCTCCGCCCACTCGATTATAGTGGAATCTGCCTCTGACTAGAGCTCATTTCATGTCTTTATTATCCTTCTTTAGCACTTATCATAATGTTTAGGTACGATCTAGAATGAAACCGCTAGCAAAGACCAGTCTCGCAATGCCCATACAAGAAATGATGCAGAGCAAATTCACTAAAGAAACAGGACAATCGGGCCATGTGAGTTTTGAGCTTTCGTTTTTCCTATAGGTGGAATTTTCAGCTCGAAAGTACCTGAATTACATGATAACTGCAGTGCTCTGCACTTTTCCAGGCAAGCCAAACCGAACAGTTGATTAAAACGGCGGCATGTTAAAAATGCGGAATGTGTTGGAGCCGAACGAGGGACGGACATTTCATGAGGTGAGTATTTAGTCAATGGCACTCCAGACTCGCGCATGACCGCTTGAACGCGCTTATTGCCGGTTACACTACAGAGAGCGCCTCCAATCCTCATAGGCGCGAACGCAGTCACACGCCGGGCATTTTATCGATGCCCGTATGATCGCGGCTGTCGTGTGCAATCTCAGCGGCGACGATCGGTTTTCCCCTGCGGCTGTGTTAGCGTCTTAGGAGTGGACGCTGTTGTAGCGCGTTACAGCGGGTCGTCGCGCGTCAACGCGCGGCACGGCGAAGGCAAAACACTACCTTGTAAACCTGCTGTGTTTTGAATGGAGCTATCTTGCTCAAGGTTTCTCGTCTCCAAGACTTCTCGTTTATTCCAGGTATCCACATAATTCACTTGCGAAACGCTTCAACATTCCCAATCCGTATCCTGGAGCTGAGATTGTTGGCGTACCGCATTTACAAAGGACATCAAAGAAAGAAACGTTACTGAACTTGGGTCTACCACAGACTGCCAACGATCTCGCCCAAAGGTAGAGAACTATTGGAATTTGAAGATTTTGAGAAGCAGCTCAGCTTGGTGGGGACATTTTAGTGGTTCTTATCGATCAGTGCTGATGCATCTTTTGTAAATTCCTGTTAAGCTATCAGTACCAAGAACATCGTTTACATTTGACAAAGTCTGCAGGTCTCACCAGGGTGTGACGAGTTACTCAAGAGGAGCTAGCAAAAGAGACTAGCGAAAGTGCAAAATGGCATCCGCCTCCCCCCCCTCCCAAAGCCGTTTCTGTATTTCTGTAATTATCCAAACGCTTTAGGAAAGCTCGTGAGGAGATCCATCATGAAGAAGAGTTGGAGAAAGAAGCCAAGGAAATCAAAGAGGAAGACCTGGACCGGCCTCCGAAGTCGATATTCGACGTGATTTTCGGCGAAAGTGAGAGTGATAGCGATAGCGATGAGGAGGAGGAAGAGGAGGAGAAAAAGGACGTGGTGAAAGTGGAACAAAAAGAGCATAAAGAAGAGAAAAAGGAGGAAAAAGAGAAAGAAGCAGCAAGCGAGCAACCGAAGCCCAAGCCGATCACCGTGATGGACATTGTGGACGATGAAGAGGAATTTGGGCCAGCTCCGCCGACGAGTGCAAGTGAAAGTGAGTTATCTGAGGTTCTAGGAAAGCTCCTTTTCTAGCTTCTATTCCACTGTATATTGCTAGCGTGGGTGACGTGCACGGTAGGTTAGCAGCTGTCCTGACCACTTGATTTCTTGAGGGTGTCGTTTAGAGAATACAAGTTGCGTCAGTGCTTAGACATCAGCACTCTATCTTAGCTTTTGAAGTACTGTAGGGTGTGTGACTAGAAAATTGTAAAGTGCCGCGGTAGTGGGCGTGGCGAGCGATATCGCGGACGGGTTGTGTTGTCCGCCAGTTCTAGTTTGAGGGACGAAGGGAAGGGAAAATTCAATGTCGCTTTTCATGAAGTCTTATCTAGGCATGAATTCGTATGACCTTCGGTGCTCCGAGCGAATGTTCATCGAGAATTCGCCGCGCATCGCCGTACGATACGCCGCGCGCGGTGACACGATAAATTACGATTATCTTTTTTTGTTTTCCCTGTAGCCTCTCAGGTGAAACCAAATAGATTCTGGTGCCAGCTTCGCGGGAGGGGGAGTGGGGATTAGGTTTCGGAGTGTTTCGAATAACCACGAGCCGCACATGACGCTGAGGTGGAGTGGCAGGTGCGCCATGCGTTACTTCATGGAATAGAACTTTTTGACACCCGTAGTTCTTTGAGTCTTTCAAAATTCCTCTTGGAAGTCAAACAAACTTTATGAAAACGTTTGAAATTCTAGCGATACCCGGATTCTCCGTATTATCATATCTCAAAGATGAAATTGCGAAGCGAAAAGCATCGAAGAAGAGCCACAAGAAACATAAATCAAAGGTGAGTGTGCCTATAATGTTATGAGAGCGCGTTCATACTTCGCGATCTAATCGCTTGGATCGCGCGGCCGCAACTGGAGACCTTCCACCGCCAATCGATGTACGCCGCAACGGCAAAATTTAACTTGGGCCGCGTTCGTGCACTGTATGAGTGCGGCCCAATTGAATACTGCCCCCGCGATGGCCACCGATACGCAGCGCAACGTCCCCAGTTGTGGTCGCGCGATCAAGCGATCGGGTCGCTAAGTATGAAGTGCTCGGAGAAGTGCATTAACTACATGAACGATTTGCATTCAGAAGTCCAAGAAAGAAAAATCCTCGAAGAAGTCAAAGAAGGAAAAGAAGAGCAAGAAATCTCGACGAAAACACCACTCTTCAACATCGTCATCAAGCGATTCTTCTGTAATCGAAGTGATCGACTGAGTGCGGTGCGATACATGCTAATCGACAAAGGGATCAGTTTTTGGCGGGAATTTTGAGCTGGACTGATGGGAAGAACAGTCGCAAAAGCTCTTCAGGCCGAATGCTACGGGTCAAAAGATGATGTCATATATTTGTTGAGATATGTTGATTTTCCATGGGCATCAAGGGCCAGTGAAATTATTTTGATGCCAGCTGGGCGCCTGGTCCTACTTGGTGCGAGTAGGTTTTGTCCTACCGTAGCCTAAGGTTCCACGTGGTTTGTATGCATCCATATTTGTAAATTGCATGTAAATATTGTGATTCATTGAGTTCCACACAGATAAAGTACTTTATAGTAAGATGTGGATTATGTGGATCGCGCGTTACTTCGCGCCTATACTCGTTGGATCTCGATGTTCATGAGAGGGAGATAGCTGGAGTGAAGGGGACGCGACGTCATCTCCGAGACCGCGTTCATACTTTGCGACCGAGATTAGGCTACTTGGCGTTCGACCGGCGCCGATCGATACCCATCTGCCCGAACCGAAGATCGCCCAAATGGCCGAATCCCTTCACTCGCAAAGTATGAACGCTGCATTACTTTAACTTGTCATTGTCTTGCCCACGTCTTTCCGAAGCCTTGGAAGAGTAACTAGGACAACATTTCCCGTCCGCATTCAATGTTCTGCAATATGACGTTAATCTTTCTCGAAACTGAATCTTTTTTCGATGAGAGGGCGCAGAAGAGAGGACATGACGTGGCATTCTGGTGCTTTTCCCTTTTCATTCGCATTTGTCCTGTTTTCTCTTCATTGACCGAAGTGAACATGATAACCAGGAGATTATCGTGAAGTTTTCACTTCCAGCGAAGGTTTTCATTCTTTAACTGAGTTCCGTGGTGTATGGTCGAATCGATAGGTGAGTTCTCCCTTTTGGGGAGGAGAGTAACCGAAATGTTTACTGTAAAGGATAAGGACCATTATGATTAGGAATGATTACAGTTGCAGTCGTTATGTGTCTCGGGAGGGGGTGCCTTCTAGCGGGGTGATGCCGCGTCACGCACGCTCTCATAGAGCAGCTTGACATGTTCTGCCATTGCCAACTTCCGAAGATGTCACCCTTCCACTTGCTCTCGCTTACCTAGGCAACGTGTCGTGGCTAGGCTTCGCTGGAGCATGACCCCTCCCGAGGCACAGGGCCTCGAATGCACAGCATAGCTTTACTCTCAAAGGTCTGAGCTCAGGTTACCTGGAGTGGATTCCTCCGATGGCAATCGCGATTATCATAAGCACGCTTCTCACATGTGTTTCATCTCGTGAGTTGTTTAATCCTTGTTCTTTAAGAATTATTTCACTCACATGGTTGCCGATGCAATCAAGATAGCATAATTGCCACGGTTAGGTACTTTACTGATACTGTGGGAGGTCCATATAGAGGTGACGAGCGTTGTAAGTGATCTAACGTGCGCTCGCGCCAGGACCTGACTGATTTGAGATGGAAGTGATGCTGTCTACCGAGGCAATTGGATACTTCATACGTTTCTACGCGCTGCCGCAATGTGGCGTTACCAGCCGGCTCCTTTGCGATTACCACATTGGCGACAGCCCTTTGTCGCGTGTCTGCCGCGTGGGACGAAAGCAATTTTTCACCTAAAATTTTTTAGGGATCGCATGAATGCTAGAGCGTTTACACATTTACACACCAAAACACTTGCAAAAGGACTAGTATTCAATGCAGAAGCTAGTAAATTTTTGCTGTTTTTTTACTTTCAATTTAAACCCTTAATTTTCGTGGAATACTCCCGCCCCATACACGCGGAGCGTGGGAAAGAGGTCGCAAAAAAGGAATTTTTTGGCGCCAGAGGCAGTAAATTGGATTCGATCCAGATCTGCTATTGTAGAAAGTTACCTTATCACGTTAGCTATCTGCATGTGGAGCTTCAGTTCTATTTATCCAAAAATTACCTTTTTTTCCTAAGGAAATCACTTTCCTTTGTATCCTCCGTAAAATACTCCCAATGACACAACTGCTAGTTTTGCAGCTACTGTATATTCTACAATGCCTTCCTGTACAATATGTAGCTGTTGAAAATTTGAAACGTTTTCAAATTGGTTTTTTACCCATGCCGCATCCCAGCAGTGGGACGCAATGTCCCACGCGGCAAAAAAGGTGCGTCCCAGCAGTGGGACGCAATGTCGCCAACGTGTTAAAATTGAGCGGTTTTTTTTGTTTTCGTTTTAGTTTAATTTTTTGCCTTTCGGTGAGCGACAAGGCTGTATCACAGTTCGTTCAGTTGTCGCTTACTCGCTTGAACAACTGGAGGAGAAGGGGCTGGCGGCGCCCCAATCCCCTCCTCCTTCAAACTCCCATCATCCGCAGTGAACAAGACTGTACGCATTGACAGATGAAATATAACAGTAGGCTTAGCAACAGGAGCAGTGTAACTGTAAAAACGTAGCAGTAGCAGGAGTTGGTGCCCGTGGTTGCGTCGCGGCTACAGAACTATCCTGAAAGCAGTAGACGCTTTGGCAAGAATATGGAGAACCAATCAAAGTATTATTGGTGTAAGAGCGTCCGGTCAATCTCCAGATCTCTATTGGTGTGATCCAACACGTTGCGCCAGTGACACTTGAGCTGATGCTCCGCCTCCTGGCCAACACACGCTCACTTCCGTTAAAATGGAACGAACTTATTTCCGGGATTCTCGAAAACACTTGTCACTTCCAAGTAAACTACCGAAACAAACTTGAGCTTGAAGTAAGAGGCAAAGGTAGATTGGGTATTAGGTAGGAATTAGGCGGCCTCACAGGAACGCCACATCATATATGATCGCCCTGCACCCTCTCATTGAGCGAGAGGGTGACGTGTTTACCTACCGTAAAGTTCCAAAGAGGCGCGGCAGGGCAAAACAAGGCAAATATAATAATATACGACGTAGCCTAGATATACTGCCACCTGGTATCCCCCCCCCCTAAAATACTTTTGCCGCAGTTTCTTGTCCACTGTGATATTTCACATTTCTTATTTCAGGTACAAAATACAGTAAGGGTATGTTTTTGACGTGATTCTTTTCTGTGGGTTGTTTGTGCGCTCAAAGGTCCGAGAACGTTATAATTCGCCAAAGGGGTACTTATTCTTTTTGAGGTGAACAAAGCTTCCCAACGACGACCGCGTTGAAACTGTGCCCAATCAATTTCTCGCACGACCATCTAATTAGCAGTTGAGCGCTGAAACACCTCCTTGTTCAATGGTCATAAAATGAATTGATTCCTCTAGCTTTCTTCAGGTGTTCAACTCCAGACAGATGTGAG